ATCCTGAACAAAGAGTCGTTAATTTAATAGAAATATTGTAATATGTGAAACTAATTTAGTTGAGAAGTAGCCGAGATATTTGAAGGTTCGGAGCTTGACCTACGATGGTGCTCACTGTCACAGAAGAGTTCTTTGCTGACATGGTAGAGATATCCAGTACTTCCTGATTTCCACTGGTCATTTGACTAAGGACAGTTTGTGTAGTAAATTATTTGTGGTGATTAAACATTACACTTTTAGTGGTATTGATTCTAACCACACGATCCTCAAAGCTGAACATAAGATAACTGAGAAAATTCCCAGTCAAAGTTCGACAGGGAGAGAATGTTGACAAAGATGAACGCGGGAACTTTTCGATCGGTTTAGCATGGCTCAGCCTTGCGGACGTGGTCATTTGGTCCAACTTGTCCCCATTCACACCAAATATATTGACCTATTGTAGTGTAGCGTTGAGTCGCGGTTGACTATTATCACCACTGCAGGAAGACTACGTGCCAGTTAACCGATAAGATCCCACGTAAGCCAAATATCAGAAGGCAGTTGATGGCTGTAGTCGAGATGTATTTATTGGCGAACTCGTGGTATCGAAAGAATACCGAGAGCGTACCAAAGGAGTACAAGTGTGGTTACTGAGCGTAACCGAACTCGTGCAATGTCATAATCATCGGAAGAAAGAAGGATGTCTTTAGTCCAGTTAAACAAACAGGCGCAGAAAAACAATCACTGGTACAATTGGTTATAATAATAATTGTTTCCATTAAACCAATCGCGTTCTCTTGATAAAAGATCACTGCACACTTATTGATTGATAACATGATTTCGAAAAGTTTTGAAAGATAATGTAAATATCACAATTTCACTTGTTGTAAATTATATTAATTATTGTTTATGTTCAATCTTAATCTCAAATTATGTATAGTCGTGCTTTTTCCTTAGTTGACTTCTTCTGAAAACATTTTCTATTTCGTGTCCAGTTGTTGACTTTTTTAATCCTTATCACGTACTGGCCAACGGGACACAACCGTTGGAAACCAGCATAAGACCACTCAGTGGCAATAAACATCTAGAACCCTACTACAAGGTATCTAACCCGGGATAACCAAGTCTCACAACCAGTGCATTGCCTTTGGATCATTGGGTTCATATCTAATGGTTTACGTACCAAAATTGGAAATATGTTCACATAATATTTCGAGCCGATCAAAGTTAAACGTATCAACTATCGATTGCCAACACAGTAGTTCATCGGCTGTGTATGCTATGAGACATTAGAATCCTAGGTTTGATAGGGTCGTAAGTATGCATTACTACTAATGAGTCCAATGCTAGGATCATTCCTTATGGTTTTATGTGGTCAACTAAGATCAGTCCGTGATGTCAACTATGATTTACTATATTTAGTATAATTATGGCTTTCGTAGTTCTCCAAGTTTCCGTCCCATACAGTAGAACTGTCTTGACATTTGTATTGAAAATTCCGACTTTGGTGTTGGTTGACAGTTGTTTTGAGTTCGAGATGTTCTTCATTTGTAAATATGCTGCTCTTGTTTTGCCGACCCGCGCCTTCATCAGTGGTGCTGCCCAGATATGTAAAAGTTTTTACATCTTCCAAATCGTCTCCGTCAATTGTGATTGGATTGGTGCATGCTGTGTTGTATCGGAGAATCTTGCTTTTTCCTTTGTGTATATTGAGACCTACTGCTGCTGAGGCTGCTGCTACACTGTTTGTCTTCTCCTGCATTCGTTGTTGCGTTTGGGATAGAAGGGCCAGATCATCTGCGAAGTCTAGATCGTCCAGCTGCATCCTAGATGTTCACTGTATCCCGTGTTTCCCTTCAGATGTTGACGTCTTCATGATCCAGTCGATCACCAAGAGAAAGAGAAAGGGTGTGAGTATGCTTCCTTGCCTGACACCGGTCTTTACTTCGAACTTAATAATTTAAACCTGAATTGTGATGAGAAAAGGACAACAGCAAAGTGAGCGAGTTTAGTAAATAACATTGGATTTAAAAGGGAGCCCGATTATAAAAAGACTTCAGTGATAATTGCGTGAGACAAATTGTTAATTCTACTTATTCATCTCACCGTCATTCCTTCTCAATGGTATGATGGGAACGATTTGTAGCTCAGGTGGATGAAGTAAAAGTTTGTGCTGATATCATTCGGGATAACAATAAAAGCTCCACAAGCAAACCATCAAGCTCAGAAAACAAAACACCAAAATTTCTTCTCAATCGATAATCTTTTGTGTGGTACGTTGTACTACTTAAGAATATTCAGTAGTTAGTTCACTTACATCATTTCAGTTTATGCCGTACCATACCTCTCTTTTGCGTTCTGTAACATTCTGAAGTATTTACATAAATTTCTAATATTCAGTTTACTTAGTACGTCAAGTTAAAAGTTATCATAGTTGTTTGCGGTTTTCACGCATTCATTGAATGTACGTTTAAGTATAATAGTTAACATATTGCATGTTCTTAGTTTCCAACGGTTATTGTTTACTTTAGACATACTTCGTGACTATCATTTATATTATCAAGTTTTATAGCTGATATTGATACGGTTATTTCAGACAGCATTTTCCACCCCTAGATAAACTAATGTTTTGAATACTTGAGACACGTTATGAACAGTGGTTTGTAACTATCTTACACATATTTTCGTGATAACAATACCGCTTTCTAAACAAAATCTCTATTTTAGACTCTAATTTCCCCGGGTAACTCTCTCATTCGACTAGAAGCTCAGATAGGATTTAAAGCAAATCGTTGGACATGACTTTATTTTAAAAGGTAAAATAGATGTATATAAAATCAATCATTTAAATGACACAATGCATGATATTGAAATCATAATTAGTTGGTTTGGTTCATGTCAATAGTAACGCTATTCTTGATTCCAAACAGGATTATTAAAGGGATTGTTTTATATGATTTTATTCATAATCCCTCTTTTCCACTGACATTGTTTGGGTTCATTAATTATTACATTAATTGCTTTATTTTAAATACCTGAACATTAAGTTACTTCAGCGAAGTTTTTTATGGAATCACCAATTTTCCAATAACTAAACTACAAACGTTAAGACAGCTATACTGTATGGAGCTGAAACTTGGAGAGCTACCACAACTACTGTCAAATATGTGCAATGTCTGATGGCCGGATACCATCAGCAAAAGCCTACTATGTGAGAGAACAAACCAACTTGCAGTTGATGAGGAAAGTAGGAAAAGACGATGGAAGTGGATGAGACATGCATTACGGAAATCACCAAACTGCATCACAAGACAAGAGCTAACTTGGAAACCTAAAGAGAAACGGAAAAGACGAAAACTAAAAATATACTGTGTCGAGAATTGGAGGCAGATGAGAAAAGAATGAATACCAACTGGAAAGGGTCGCTTAGGACAGAGTTGGATGCAGAATGCTGGTGAGCGGCCTATACTCCTCCATGAGAGGTCACATGCGTAAGGAAGTAGGTAAGTAATGTTGTGAACAACTAGCGGGAACTCATCGATTATTCTATTACCATTCTTATTTTTGCCACATTCAAATTTAAAATGCGAAACAAATTGTGGAAAAATGCAGAACATTACTTAAAAATTACACAATTAAATTTCTGGCATAAATACAAATATGTACGATCAATTAGTGTTTATTGTAATATTATGTTAATGAAGTAATTCTCTATTCATCAATAATTCTATAGAGAATTCTGGTGAGTGGCCTATGCTCTTCTACTAGGAGTAACAGGTGTAGGTAAGAAAGTAATAGGTTAGTATGTTATAATTTATAATATAAAGTTAGTATTCAGTGTGTTCTGATTATATCCCCCAGTCTTTTGAAAACCCATGGTATAAGTTTATTTTGGTGAAAGTGTCTGTGAGATCTCACAATGATTCACTCTTAGTGAGAACGAGATTTTCAAAATCATGCTGGTACAGAAAAGAGAGGGGAAGTTTAGAAATAACTTGAACATTCGGTTTTCAAGTCGGTTTGAAACGCTTCTAAGCGACAGGCTTGATTGAAAGTTGTCGTGCCAACAAGTAAAACAAAATAAACGTTTCTTAAAATTTATTTGTTTGACTGTGAAATAGAAAACGTCTAGCCATGTGACGTTCTAATCTGTTTTCATGATGTAAAAATAAAGACTTGCCTAAAGTATTCATAAAATCAACGAACTGATCAATCTAATGGTCAGATTACATTAGGGTATGTTTCATCGGTTAGTCATTTGTAAAAGATCTAATGTCATTCGATTTTTTGTCGTTCAGCTCGGCATAATATATATATGGTCTTTAAATAAGTCAAGTGTTTGTAGTTATCTTGTAACCTCAACCATCAGCTTACATTTGATAATTGTATTTGATACTCTTCTGGATAGTTTCTGTTAATCGAATTGGCTTTCAAAGTTATCATTTATAATTACTACTGGCCGGTAAGATAAGATACTACTTACGTCTTTACTCAATAGTACCGAATTATTCAAAACTGCGTATATTATTTATAGATGAAAAGACCAAATACTTATAACTAGATAAACTGAGGTATATTGTACATGCTCTTTCATCAGTTACACATTTATAAACAAAACACACAGGTGAATGGTTGCTAACATGGAAGAATAGTTCAGTCAAAGAAAAGGTGGAAGGGGCTTAATTAAGACGTGGACTATTCTATAGAGTTTCTGATTGTTATTTTAAACTATTGTTGTAAGTACAGACTACCAGGGTAAAGCCAACATAAGAGTTTTCATCAGTGACTGAAAACCTTAGGTGATATGGCTTAAAATCAGTTAGGATGAGGTTGGTAAATTTCTTTTTTATCACCCCATATTTTCGAAGTCCCAATATTACAGAAAGTTTACTCCTTTTTCTAAACCTTTTTTCGTTTATTTTTTCCACCATTGTCATACTGTTACGTTTATTTTACTTTTTTATATTCAGTTTACTTATTTTATCTTTCTTAGTTGATAATATGTTATAATTAGGGTTATTGAAAATTTGTTTCAAGTTTCGAGTTGGTTAAAGCTGATTTAAAAAGGACTGCTGTTATCTTATAAGAGTGTACCTGTCCTCACATATAAGCAAGTTCTAGAATGGATTTTGAAAGAGTAGAGTTACGAACACAATTAGACAAAATTCATGAATTCTAAAAGCTAAAACGGTGGCTAGGTAGTTAATGTTATAAAATTTTTAGCTTCAGAAGGAAGGTGCACATAAATGAACATGTGAAGGAATGCAACACAAACTCAAATTACAATTTTAGTACTAGTTTACACAAGCCTGTGAGAATTGTCTTGGTGATCCTATGTTAAGCTTTTATATGATGTGGGTAATGCCAAGGAGTAACAAAAATTTGCATGAAGACAAAAAGAAAAGTTATAAACAGAAATGAAGTGAATAAGAAAGTTTGTATTCAAAGGTTGCGATATGGTCCACATATTTGGAATGTTTTTACAGGGCATTTTATACAGTAATGCTGATTTACGCTTCAACAGACTACGGGTAAACTGATCATGCCGATATGATAATTGAACAATATCCATTCACTTAGAGTGGTGACTACTTACCATTTTACTTAGGAGATCATGACATTCTACCAAAATGTTTGAATTACTATTTCATTTGTGATCTGATAGATATTTGAGAAACATGCCTCTATTCACAGGCCAGTTGCCGAGTTCTGGGTTAAACTTGAGTTGGGCTTGAAGCTCAGCTGAACATGAGTTACTCTGTTGATCGATCTTAGCGGAAAGACCTTGGAGGAAGCATAAATTTTTCCCAAGTGGTCCAAAGGCTGTGAGGTTTTCTAATTCGGCAGTTTGATTTGATGTCTCATCTTCGTTTAATCTATGAAGAATCTTTAGATCAGGATTACAGATAGAAGTAAGCAGTCTTTCGTTTATAGTATTTAGGTGTCTTCTATTTTGGTAGGTTTTATTTTCAAAGTTTTTCAAGGCTAAAACAGATTAGAAAAATCTCGCTGTGAGTTTTCCGCTTACCTGTATGACTTTCAATACCAAACACATCCTGGTCTAGTTTTAGGTCGAGAATAGTACTTTTATGTAAATCATCTGCATCAGTAACCTGAATGTCGCAAAAAGATGAAGGTATCAACATATGTGTGAAGTTAACGTGGAAAATGTCTTCTACAGCAGCTATGTTTTCTCTCTGAAGATTTCCAATTTCATTCACGATGCGTTCCATCTTTTCATCAAGTGATTCTTTTTCGATTTTCAACCATTTGTTTTGGAGCATTTGTTGCGAAAATAATTTATTTAATGTGTCGATAGCATTTTCAATTACTGAGTTTCTAATGTGCTCCGACGAACACTCAATATTTGTTTGAACATTCAAATAACTCTGGTTCTCCTCTTTGGTCAAATATTCTACCATTGATTCAAAACGTTGCTTCATATTAGTATACTCTGTTTCTAACATTTGGATACGTAGTTCATTTGATTTCTTCGTTACATCAGAATACACTTGCCATTGTTTGAGCTCCAAAATAACATCTTTTGTAAGATTCTGTGTTAATTTGATTTCATCTTGAATTTTGTTAACTTCATTTTCCTCCAAATCTCTTATCTTCCACGTCTCAAGCAAGTAATTTTTCACGTCGTCACCTGACATAGTAGTGTCATCAGATATTGAAACTTTTGAAACTTTCAATAAAGTATCTTTGAGCATTTTTTCGCCTTCCAGTTTAAGTGTGTTGAGAATCTGCAACTTCTCCATAAGCATATTTTTAAGTGTTTCTCTCTTAAACTTCAGCCTAGAAAGCACATCCCGGAGATTACCTATTTGGTAATCAAGAATGGCTTCTTTCGGTGTTAAGTTTTCTACTTTTTTCGGCTTTTTGCCGGGGTTTTTGCTCTTACCTTTCTTCGGTGGCATGATATCAACTGTGTGCAAAGTCAAGCGGCATTAGCAATTCATAAAATGGTTTGACAAAACAAAACAATATCCAATGGTATAAAGAAAAGGTATTTATTTTATCAAGCCTTCATCTTTCTGAATCTCTGAATTCTATTTTATAAAATTTTTTGTCACATTGAATATTAAATATCTTTGTACTGAACTACTGCAAACATTGAGATTTTAGCTTGTTTAGTAAGGACAGAAGGCATACGGTCTATGTTATTCCTTTTTTGATATGCTTCTGTAAGTGTTTAGTTTTCTCTTAAATGGGTCAGTTGAAGGTGCAGGCACCATTGCTTTGGGTAACAGGTTCCGAGAATTGATAACTTGGTGTGAAAACCTGTATGCCACGGGTAGTTTTTTCGTTCGTGGCATTTCTACTCACTTGCTGTGCCCTCTGAGATGTCCATATCTAGTGGAGAGACAAAGAGAAGACTTGTTAGGTCCATAATCATTTCCTAGTATCATATACATCAAAATCAGATCACCTCTTAATCTGGAGTAGGACAGAGTAACGAGGTCTAGCTTTTCAGGCTGCTCTTTGTATAATAAACTTTGGAGTTCTGGAAGTGTATGGCAACTGCCTTCTGCACTTTCTCCAGGATACATGAGTCTCCTTCGAAGCGGGAGCTTGCAGTCTGAACGCAGTTTTCAAGCTTATTTTTCACTAAGGTTTTTTACACTGTAGTGAACATTGTAGTATCTAATCTAGTGAATGTCCGTTTTAAAGCCTAGAGAGTTTCAAACCCGTTAGCTGAGACCTCATGACAATAGGCTGTCGTCTTAATATCGTGACTCACTGTCACCTCAAGGTCCTTTCGAGACCGGTTCACGGGTACAGGCACATCTCCTGTGGTGTACCTACTTATTTTTGTATCCCCGAAATCCATTCAGGCACTGCCATGTTGATAGGCATCAGCCACTCTTTAGACCAGCTAATTACAATATTTAAGTCTTCCTGAAGTGCTCATGCATCTGCGCCTCCTGTTATTTCTCTCCAGATGTTTACATCGTCAGCGTATAGTAACTTTGGGGACTCAACTATACTTGGTGGATCATTTACATGAAGCATAAAAATGACCCAGGGCAGTACCTTGAGGTACTCCACAAAGCACCGGTCTCCATGTGGAACGCTTCGAATTTACTCTCATTTTCTGTCTACAACCAGCCAAAAAGTCCTTAAGCTACTTAAGAAGAGATCCGGCAATGCCTAGGTTTTCCAGATTCAACGCCAGTCTATTTCTTGGCACATTATCAAATGTTTTACTAATTTGACGATATATACATAGTCGTTTATTCTTGTTCTGTGTTCATAAACACGCCTGTTAAACTACTTGCGTACTTAACGTCTCCTTTATTTCTATTCCTTTATTTTCTTCCTTTCTTTCCTTAAACTAAATTCAATATTCTTCTCAATTACACAGAACCTGGTTTATTATTATTCTATTATTATTACTCTCTTTTTGAAATATAATGCTAACATTATTGCAACTTGTTTATTACTGCATTTTTGAAGAAGCCCGAAGTAGTTTCTTCACAACACTCATGTACCCATAAGTTACTTGTGAATAACAATAATAATAATAATAATAATAATAATAACAACTATGGCAATAGCTAATGAACCAAACTCGTTAACTGAAATCATTGTCCATGTTGACTCACACTATCACGGAAGTCAGGATATACTGCCTCATAAGAACCTTTGGAGGACAAGTATGTTCTTCCCAAAAGCATAATATGTTTCGTATAAGGACGGTGTAGGATCCAAACTACGGTTTGGATGTTGAAGAATAGCCGACCGGGGATTTTAGACACGCGCCCTTTCCCATCGAAATCAGAACAAGTAATCGGGTAACTAGCGGTTCTATAATTCATAATAAATTTAATGTAAATCATTACCTAAACAAATATTATCACCCGGCTATTCAACCAATGATTGTTCAATCAATTAAATCTAAATTACAGTAAATAAAGAAGTTGATAGAAGATGAGGAAAAATTACCAATCACAACAAATCAACGTTATTCTATCCTGGCTGGATAGATCACACACAACAGGAGGAACAAATCAATATGGCTACCGCCAAGAACAAGTGTCAAGTAAAACAACGCAGATGCAGTTCAGGAAGAAACACAAACTTAGTGAATGCGTAATAAAAACAAAAACTATAACAAAAATACAAATATTAACAATTCAAATGTAATCAAAACACAACAATGTACAACTAATGCGATCAATAGGAATAAAGTACAAGTATATACATGGAGGGATTTTCACCAACACATAAAACCTTCAAAATGGATCTTACACCGGCCCCCAAAATCCCTCCATACCACACAAGCTACCTTGACGCCTACGGTCATGGTTCATTATATAACATATCACACCATAGGAACGAGTAGGACTTACAACAGTACACCTACTCGACCTAACTACATTAATAACAACAAAGACTAATCCAAAGCTTCAAGGAGACCTGCTTCACCTGTTCTCTGGTGATCAACAATAACAGTCGTGATATAGACCTAATCACTCTTCCCCAAACTCCACCCATGCTGTTGGATGAGGGTCTCGCTGACAATTCAATGTTTATCTTCTGATTCGACTGCTGCACAAACTTGCTTAACTCAGAAACTGTCCCCACGAAGCTTGACGCACTGACACTGTAAATCTCTGGAGGTTTCCTTCTTCTTCCAATAAAACGTAATAGAGCCATTAAAAATGAATCAGTAATCAAATTACACATCATTTCAATATGTACTGCCCATGTTTGCAAACAAGTAAACACATATCCATACCCTTTTTCTAATGATCTTCCTATGTGTCCTTGTTCTTTATGACAATGTCTAACTATCATTTCCGTCACTAAGTGTCGACTGGGTAAAATTACTGGATGTTTAAAAGCATTTGGGAAATCTGAGTATCTTAGTCGACCTCCAACGCAGAGTAACCCATCAAGCATCATCACCGATAAACCTTTCAGATCATCATGGCTTACTACTTTACTGCTGTTCTTAAATTCACTAAGTAATTCTCCATACACTTCTCTCTGAACCACCGATAAAATCTTACGCTTGGCAATCTCAAGCTCTTTGACCTTTAAACATCCTAGATGAACGGATCCTTCACAACTCGGCAAACGAAGTACCATCAGGAATTCGATTAACTTTTTAAACCAGGTTACAGCTCTGACTAATTTCAACCACTCGGAATAATAAAAGAGAACAGGTGTCTTGTTGTACTTTATACTACTCAAGTTAACCACAGCAGTTTTTCTAAACTCAATATCGTCAAGAGTAGGTTCCGGACAGTCAGTGATTGTTATATAAAATTCGCCATGCAATAAAATAGGACATTTGAACCAAGATTCAAGATCGGTCGTTTTTTGTATACTTCCTCTACATAATAATTCACTTATATGCTTAACGAAACTCTTTGCTTGATCACAAGTGGGAATGGGTATCAAGCAATCATCAACATAGAAATTATTCTTGACATCATCTACAACATAACCATCATAACCGTCACAGAATATTTGGGCCGTCTTATTCAGGGCAAGGTTCGCGCAAAATGGCGATGATGTGGCATCAAATGGATGGGATGTCATTTGAAACTCGGATGATTCCCTCGATATGTCTCCCTCTTGCCACCACAGAAATCTTGAAGCTCCTCGATCAGACTCAGGGACCTTCACTTGCATGAACATTTCTTCAACATCTGCAGAGACTGCGATTGCTTCTTTGCGAAAACGCAATAATATACACACTAACTCAGCAGTTGTGTCGGGTCCTTGATAAATCATATCATTTGAGGGAACCCCTGCAAACTGGGCGGCACAATCAAGGACCACTCTAAGATCTTGTTTTTTCATGTTTAATACTGCACGATGAGGTAAATACCATCGAGGGCGATAATAAGACTGCAGATATATTTCAAAGACCCTCTCCGCATAAGTCTTAGTAAAATCACTTTCAGTACTTTTGATATACTTGATGTGCAGACTGACATCCTTCGACAACATACCCTTCAAACTTTGTAATTTACGGTTTGCTACTTCATATTTATCCACTTTCATATCTGGATTCTTTTTCCAAGGTATAGAAACTACAAAATGACCGTCGCCGAAGCGCGTGCCACCTTCCACAATCTTTATAGCCACCTTGTCGTCTACTGATAATGATTTATCACCTGAATAAGCATCTGAAAACTCTACGTCATAAGGCTTACGTATTTCGTTCTCTAATGTCTGTATCTTACTGGTATGATTAACAACTCTTTTCCTATATTCCGGGCATGACGGCTTATCATTTACGACGTTGCTTGTCGAGTCAGTGTGCAGCAGAGCGTGATGTCTCCTCTCGCAACTGTCAACCTTACAGAGCCTTGTCATCTTACATTCATTAACCTTATGTCCTTGTCTAAGACAGACGAAACAGATACCCTTGCTTTTAGCGTGAGACCATCGGTCTTGAACTGTAAGCGCTAAGAACTGTGGACATTTATCAATGGCATGGTCGTAGGAACACATACTGCATTTAGTTTTCATTGTCGAACTATTCCCTTGCTCTGATTGCACGTGACAGTTCGTCTTTACGTTATGTCCTTTTCTAGAACGGTTTGCTAACCGTCCAAATCTACTACAAGCCACTCTCGCACGCGATGCGATAAACTGAGTGAGCTGGTCGAAGGTCGGTTCCCTGTTATCTTCAGTCAATTTATCCACCCAGTCCGCCCACTGGGCTTGCATAGGTTGAGGCAAGAGTCTCACTATTCTTTCCAAGGTAACTAAGGAATTTAGATCAGAAGTATAATTCATTTGTTCCAAGACCATGGCACAGTTTTCCATTTTAATAGCCAAGTTTGATAGTTGGTCCCCGTCAATATACTCAAAATTCACAGCACTGAATAAGTCCTCTAGTGTTTCTCGAGCAATTACGTGAGGCTGTCCGAAAAAACGTTTTAAAATCTCCCTTGCTCTTT